AGTATATATTATGGATCGGGCTGCACGCCGCAACGGTTACTATTATTTTTATAAGATATCTATTGAGCCGGAGTGCTGACTGTGAGTACTGATTGACGAGAGCTGAGTCATGAGTGATTGAGAGGCTTGCCCGAGAGGCTATACTTATGAGTGACACCTTGCTCGAGGGGCTTGTTTATGACATTTTCTCCGTTTTCACTCTTCTTTTATACTGAGCCTGTGTTGAAAAATATTGAATAAATGTTTTCAAAAGGTTTCTAAGTAAAATTGGAGTTTTACGAGATAATTGGTTATTGAACTCCATATTTTGATTTGATATTTCTATTGAGATTTCTTATATGATTTTAAATGCATGTCACTGCACTCAGACTTTATTTACTATAGTTAGTTACTGAGTTGGCATACTCACGTTACTCCCTGCACTTTTGTGTACAGATCCAGGTGCCCGAGCATTAGAGTGAGAGCTTCCAGCACTTATCCGGAGATCGCAAGGTAGCTGCACGGCGTTTGCAGCCCTGCTTTCCTCCTTCCTATCTTTGTACTTTGTATTTTTCAGTCTTGTTATGTATTATTCAGACAGTGTTGGGTTGTACTTAGAGGCTCATGACTAATAACACTAGATTCAGGCTGTGTAGTGTATTGTCTTACTGGTTTTCGCATATTTCTGTTGATTTATATATTATATATGAGATATTTGAGACCTAAATCTATTTTAGAAAAATGAATTGTAAAAAGAATTCGATGTGGTAAGTGTGGGATTAGCTTGCCTAGTACTGTGATAGGTGCCATCACGACCAAGGTATTTGGGGTTGGTATCAGAGCCTAGGTTACATAGGTCTCACGGGTCATGAGCCGGTTTACTAGAGTCTCGCGGATCGGTACGGAGACGTTTGTACTTATCCTCGGGAGGCTGTAGAACCTTTAGGAAAAACTTCACATTCTTGAAAGAATCTGTTGATTCTGGTACTAAACTTCTGTTATTTATTCTCTCACAGATGGTGAGGACACGTGCTACCGGTCAGGATGGATGACCAACAGTTGGGGCCACTAGAGGCCGAGGTCGCAGTCGAGGCTGTGGTAGGGGCAGGGGTGTAGCCTACACAACAGCTAGGGCAGCACTTACAGATCCACCAGCCGCCCTAGTTTAGGATCAGGTCCCAGTTGCGGACGCACCAGCAGTACCAGCTGTGCCTATTGTGATTCCAGGCCTTCAAGAGGCCCTAGCCCAGATTCTATCAGTGTGCACTGGCCTGGCTCAGACGGTCTCAATTACTACAGTTGCAGCTACTTCTCAGGCCGGGGGAGGCATTCAAACTCCCGTTGCTCGCACCCCTGAGCAGGTTGTGCAGGGACTTTAGACACCGGGGGCACCTCCAGCCCAGTCGGTTGCACCAGCTCAAGATTATGTGGTACCAGTTATGCATGACGACGAGCAGCATCAATTAGAGAGGTTTAGTAGACATCTGTCTCCAACTTTCAGTGGTACAGAGGGCGAGGATGCCCAGGGTTTTTTGGACAAGTGTCAGAGGATTCTTCGTATAGCGGGTATTTTGGAGACCAGTGGGGTCGCATTTACTACTTTTCAGTTTTCTAGAGCTGCCTTCACTTGGTAGGAGGCTTATGAGAGACGTAAGCCTATTGATGCAACGCCCCTTACCTGGCAGCAGTTCTCTATTCTCTTGTTTAAGAAGTATGTGCCACAGGCTCGCAGAGAGGAGCTGCGCAGGCAGTTCGAGCAGTTACGTCAAGGAGATATAACTGTGATGCAGTATGAGATAAGGTTCTCGGAGTTAGATCATCATGCTGTTTGGTTGGTTCCTACGGACAGAGAGAGGATTCCGAGGTTTGTTGATTGCCTCACATATCAGCTTCGGATTCTCATGACTAGGGAGAGGGTGTCAGGTGCTACTTTTGAGGAGATTGTTGACATTGCTCGTGAGATTGAGTCAGTTCATCGCGAGGAGCGAGATTAGAGGGAAGCCAAGAGGCCTTGAGGATCCGGTAGTTTGGGTGGTGCTCCTTCGAGAGGTCAGTTTCAACACCTCACCCAGTTCATCGTGGGGCGTCATCGGGCCATGGTTCTCATAGCTCATATTAGGTCCATTCATCACTCAGTACCCTACCAGCCCAGAGTTCGTCCCGTGCTTCATCGGTGCAGGGTTCATCCATGCCAGGTTTTTCTACTGGTCATTCCGGTGCTAGGGGTTCCCTTTAGTCCCCATTCCCCGCACTAGGGAGTTGTTACAAGTGTGGAGAGTTTCGATATATGAGGAGGCAGTGTCCTCGTCTTCTTGAGGGTCCATCTCAGTAGAGGAGTCAGCCCTCAACTTCAGCTCAAGTTACTTCACCACCCGCTCAGGCAGCTAGGGGTGGGGGTTAGTCAGCTAGGGGTCGCCCTAGAGGAGGAGGTCGATCAGGTGGTAAGGCACCCGTAGGGATTGTGACTTGGTCCGTCCCGAGGCGACTGTATAGTTGCATATTTTGATATATTGTATATGATATCCATGTGTTTTAGAAATTAGTTTGTTAATCTGGGCTGAATGCCGTGTTTAGGGCCTTTGTGCCGAACTGTTTAGACCCTTTAGGGTATTTTACTATTTTCCTCACATTGTTTTAATTTGAAAGCATATCCTCGGTCATGTTTTTACCTGCTTATTGTTTAATCTGGTTTCATCACTCTACTTCTTAATATATGAAAACTGTTTGGGCTGAGTTTCCCTGATTTTCATTGATATGCTCGAGTGGCCGTGAGGTTAATGACTAAGCGAGGTTGAGGACCTAAGGGTGAGGATTATAGATATATATTATGGATCGGGTTGCACGCCGCAACAATATTATGTTATGGATCAAGCTGCACACCACAGTGAATACTTATATGGATTGGGCTGCACACCACAACGATATATATATATATATTAGATCGGGCTGCACGCCGCAGAGATATGACGCTTGGGCTATAGGAGCCCCTCCAGAGTCTACACATACCCAGTGTACGTAGTTGACAATATATTATGGATCAGGCTGCATGCCGCAGCGGATACTATTATTATTATTATTATTATGAGATATCTATTGAGACGGAGTGCTGAGTGTGAGTACTGATTGACGAGAGCTGACTCACGAGTGACTGAGAGGCTTGCCCGAGAGGCTATACTTATGAGTTATACCTTGCCCGAGGGGCTTGTTTATGACATTTTCTCCGTTTTCACTCTTCTTTTATACTGAGCTTCTATTGAAAAATATTGAATAAATGTTTTCAAAAGATTTCTAACTGAAATTGGAGTTTTACGAGATAATTGGCTATTGAACTGCAGATTTTGATTTGATATTTCTGTTGAGATTTCTTATATGATTTTAAATGCTCGTCACTGCACTCATACTTTATTTACTTTAGTTACTTACTGAGTTGGCGTACTCACATTACTTCCTGCACCTTGTGTGCAGATCCAGGTGCCCGAGCATCAGAGTGAGAGCTTTCGGCACTCTCAGAGTCTTATCCGGAGATCGCAAGGTAGCTGCACGGCATTCACAGTCTTGCTTTCCTCCTTCCTATCTTAGTACTTTGTATTTTTCAGTCTTATTATGTATTATTCAGATAGTGTTGGGTTTTACTTAGAGGCTCATGACTAGTGACACCAGATTCGGGCTGTGTAATGTATTTTCGTACTGGTTTCCGTATATTTCTGTTGATTTATATATTACATATGAGAGATTTGAAACCTAAATCTATTTTAGAAAAATAAATTATAATAAGAATTGGATGTGGTAAGTGTGGGATTGTCTTGCCTAGTACTGTGATAGACACCATCATGACTGGGTATTTGGGGTCATGACAATTGTACTATCGTTTGATGAATATAATATTTGGATAGATTGTATCGTTTGCCGTTATTTCATGATATCATGCATCGTCAATATGAAAAATAAACCTGCAATATTATATAAAAAAATTATGATATAGGGTAAGATTATTATATAAAAAGGTAAGATGAATGATAAAATAAAATTATTTAATAATAATGAAAGGTTAGATGAAAGAAAAAAATAAAGTAGCGACGTGACCACAAGTTTTCTACAATTTGTGAGATCAGAATGTAATATCATTATATTCCTTTCTTTAAATCTTATGTGATTCGGCCAAGGCCTGCCTACCAATTTCCTAAACCGAGAAAATCTAATCCCACTTCTGTAGGTTCCACATTTTATTTATTTTTATATACTGCCCCATTCTGTACTAAAGACTTTCAACTGTATTATCTATGCAAGTGAGTTTCATCATAGATTAAATGAATTATTGTTAAAATCCCATTTATCATGACTCTTTCCATTTTCATATGTTTTGCTTATTATTCTGATTAAATAAATCAGAGTGATGTTGTATAATAGTATAACACTACCAAAAGCTGAAATTTAGTACTAGAATCCTCGTAAATTTTTCCACAACACAAAGGCAAAAGGGGAAATAAAAGAACACAGTAGAATAGTATTATGGCAGTAACTCACTTTTTAAAAACCAATTCCTTTAGGACCAGATAGAGAAGCACAAGAACTAACAAAAAAAACCCAAAAGCAGAAAAAGCCTAAAGAAGACAAAATTGAAAACAAGTAGGAGAAAAATTCACTTGTTCCTCCATCAATGTTATCTCATTTAGTTGTTGTTCAGCCCTAGCAATCTTCAGGGAGTGGGACTTGATCAGCACTTCATGTCTCTGCTCCTTGCTAACCAACCCAGGGTTTTGCCTGAACCAATCTTCCAGGTCCGCAGCACTTCCTCCGTACAAAACCAAACTTGAATATCGTTCTGAACTACCAGCACACAAATTGTTCTTTTCTTTTGCAACAATCTTTTTACCAACTTTTGGTACTTTGTCGTAAACCTTAGCTGCTCCCTTCTCTTTGGCAATTTGGTTGTCATCATACCAAATTCTTTGTGAGAGTTTGAACAAGTTCTCCTCGTGAGGCTTCGAAAAGGCACCCCTTTTGGCAACATTTTTCATAAATTAGCTTTTTAGGTTTTTAACTTTGTTTTTCAGTTGATTTTTGCTTACTTCAACTTGCAATTTGTCCTTCACAAAAATATAGAATGCATTATAATCTACTGAGGGGCTAATATTTCTCGCGGATGCATACTCAAGCATGCCTTCCAAGACAGCTATCTCGTCTTCATTGCTCCATATCCGCTGAAAATTATTTACAGCCTCACTAACGCCTTTTTTCCCTGAATTTTTCATTGTCCGTTTCTTTCTATTGTTGGAATGAGATTCTGAAGATATACTCTTTGATGAAGTAGGTGTCCAGTCTTTATCGGATTCTTTTAAGAGAATTATCGGTGTGGTTTTTGGCCATATTCTGCATAAATTTTTCGCTTTTGGATAAGTTTAAAGAAGCCATTTCAGAGGAGAAAGGTAGCAGTGCTTTGTGTACGGTTTTGATCTTCAACTGGAATGTTCTGCTTTCATTTTCATTTTGAACACCATTTAAATATTAGAGTATTTCGTGATGCTAATCGGATCGACATTGAAAATCTTTGGGTATGGTTCATGCTTTTAAATGTTTTGAGCTTCCCAAGGGATGTACACGTATTTCATCTAACTTTAGAAAATTATGTTCATTTTAACTATTGACTTTTCAATAAATTATAATCCCTAGATTATAAGGACTTTATAAATTAGTTATTGGAAATATTAATTACCGTACAGTCCTCAAAAAGAGCAAGGTGGGAAGTTGTTGGAGGGAAGGATGCCGGGGGTCTATTTAGAAACAGTCTCTCTACCCTAGGGTAAGGGTAAGGTCTGCGTACACACTACCCTCCCCAGACTCCACTAAGTGGGATTATATTGGATTGTTGTTGTTGTTGTTGTACAGTCCTCAAAAACCTAATTTGGTTTCTGTAAACCGTCACCATTTTTTCAAAGTTACTTCGTCAAACTCTAATGCATCCTCCATATTTGATCTTCTCTTTTATTTTACATTCTCAAGCTTAACTTTTCAGATTCTAGACGATTATATTTGTGTAAGTCTTGAATTATAGAGTAAATGTAATTGTTTGATTGGCTTCATATTACTAAAGGGAATCGGACTACACACATGTTCATTTCTTTTGGACAGTGTATGGTTTTTGTTATCTAATTTTCTAGCTTATACTAGATCTAGAGAAAAATTTTGAATTTTAAGAATATATTCATCCCACATTGAATACCACATAAACCTTAGTTAAAGAGAACTGCAATAGTTTTTCTTGTCCAATGTGAAATTAATTAAAAACTTTAAATGGTGGTCTCCATAAATTCACCAGACAAAAGAATGTATCTGTAACTAGATAATACACACATTAATTATAAGCGTAGAGACTCCTTAACTAACTCTTCAATTATTCCAATTAATGATGGATGGGTTTGAAGGGAAAATTGCAGACCCTCAATATATTTGGATTTGGCTCTAATAATTAAATGCATCAATCAGTTCATTGATACCACTCAGTTTCATACAATAGTGTCATGACATAATAATAATAATAATAATAATAATAATAATAATAATAATAATAAATAAACATAAAATAAGAATGTCACAGTATGGATGAGAGAAAACAATATGCTCCTTTAAACGTTTCTCTTGTTATAACTTATAAACAATAAAGGAAGAAGAAGAGAAAAGTAGCGAGAATTTTTATGATATGGGATCAATTACAATAGAATAGAACCCCTCTATTTATAGGGGAAAATGACTTAGCCACCAAGTAACAAACCCTAAAATCTCTCTAAAATATAGACATTCACCTTAAATATAATTTTATTTATAACACTCCCCCTTGAATGTATATTCAACAGATAATGTGTCTCGTTAAAATCTTAACTATAATAAAATTCAGTGAAAAAAAATTCTAGTGAAAGAAAAAGAGTACACATATCTAACAATATGTCTTTTGGTTGTCTCATTAAAAACCTTGCAAGGAAAATCCAGCGGGACAAAACCTTATAAGGAAGAAAGAGTACAACGCGTATTAATTCCCCCTGATGAGAGCATCAATTCACATCCTTGAGCCTTCGCACTACAATCTTGTGCACCACCACCTTCAAAAGATCGTTACGTTGGTACAGATTTGATAAACAAATTAGTCATATTAATTTGAATGAATATATTGCACCTTGAAATCATCATTCTTGATAGATATATAATGTCTTCATATAATGTCGTGGAATGACTTTTCAATATCTCCATAGAGGTATTATCGCTATCACATTATCATACTTATAGTTATAGCAAGATACATATATGGACAAAATTGCACTTACAATGTGGTACTTCAGGACTAAGAATTGTATATGCTTTAAGTTGTTTAAATCTTCCAGGGATTGTCATATATGCTAAGTCATATAAGTCATATAAATAGACTTTAGATGCATATCAAGTTTTCATAACATGGTAGACATACAAGATAGATAAAAGTGATTGCATACTCTGTTGACTTTATACTTTCAAGTGTTTGAACTACATGTCCTAAACTATATGTCCTTCATATGAAACCAATTCTATTCGAATTGTGTCTCTTCCATTTGGCCAATATTTTTATGTCTGTATTCGACAGACTTAAGGTCCTCATCTATACTTAGCGCTATGATAGATGTCGTCGATGAATGTCATGACCCAAAATCCCTCCGAAAGAGTCGTGATGGAACCTAGTCTCTAAACTAGGTAAGCCTAACATTAACTCAAATAATATTGACATTTACTAACTTCAAATTAAATAACTAAATCACAATTTCCTAAAACCGGTGGTACAAGTCATAAGCCTTTCTAAAAGTAATTATATAAGATAAATACAACATTGTTCCAAAACGGGAAGGAATCAATGGAATGTAAATACAAACGAAGGTGACTCCGAGGCCTGCGAATACAGCAGCAGGTTACCTTGAGTCTCCACCCCGACAATCCGCACAGCTACTACCAATCATTACCTAGATCTGTACACAAAAATATACAGAAGTGTAGTATGAGCACACCACGGCGGTGCCCAGTAAGTATCAAGACTAACCTCGGTGGGATAGTGACGAGGAACAGTCAAGACACCTACTGGTCAAACAGATTAAACATGATATGATAACAAATATCAAGAAAAAGGTAACTAATTAATATCAACAACAGGGTTAAATCAAACTACAAACCCTGAAAATCATAAAAGGAAACTCGGATGGAAACGAAAGATAACCAAGTTAATCAACACTAACATAGCTGAAACACAAAGAAGTAGAATGAACTCAAGTACGCAAAACAGAGTCAACTCAATCAATCATATCACTTCTAATGCACAATTCCGGCCATTTCAGAACTCGATGTCTCATATCATAATCTCAATTTCCAAAACCTTAAGCATGCTCGGCACCTTGTGCCCATATATTACTATCTCAGTTGCATAACAACATACTCATATTACTTAGTACATAGGGTCCATAACCACTACAAATAAGATGTTCCAGGAGTCTCATTCACATAACATAAAGTAGAGTACAACTTCTAAACCAATTAGGAAATCAGTAAGAAAAATGAAGTTACTTTTGAAAATCATTTGAATAACGAAAATACACTTTTTAATTAAAGTACAACATCAAATGAATAATTTTTTTTAACATATGAATTTAATAACTTAAAACTTAGTAGAAATTTCTTTTTAAATAAAATACAACCTCAGACGGTTTAAGGAAATTTAATTGAAGAACTAATTGAATTAAGGATATAACAATTATTGAAATTTGAAGTATTGAAATACATATATAAATACAACAAGTTCACATTTAAAAGTCATACAAAATAAGGTAGTTTAAATTCCTTTATTTTTAATCACAATATTACTAATAACTTAACAGGACAGGAGAAGAATGTTCCAACGTAGTAAATTTACTTTGAAAATTAATTCACCAGAGTAATAGTTTCAGAATAAGAATTCAAGAAACAACGGCAAGTCAATAACTCAATGCCAATAACCCGAAATAGAAATTGTCAAGTCTTAAATAAATGAATTTGGATCCTCTCAGTATTCAGCTATAACCAAATCCTAAATGAAATGTGAAACGATTGAATAACTTGTACAGTCGAAGAGGAAGACATAAGCATAAACATACATTGATGTGGTGCGCATCCCGATCCCACCTACCTCCCTTATTCCTCCTCAACAATCACAATAGGTAAATAGTATATATTTGTTGTTGTGTGCAACCCGATCCCACCAATCCTCCCTTATTCCTCCTTAACAATTACAATAATTGTAAATAGTATTTTATCCCTATATTAGTAACAACATGATCATTCACCCTTATTATTCCTTATTGCGGCGTGCAACTCGATCCTACCAGTCCTCCTCAATATATATCACCTTTATTCCTCATGTTGCGGCGTGCAACCCGATCCTACCTGTCCACCCTTATTACTCCTTGTTGCAGCGTGCAACCCGATCCCACTAGACAACATCAATTCTCAACATATCAACAACCAAATATAGTTTCAAATCAACAACAACAACAACAATTCATCAACCCAAACACAAGGATTTCTACCACCAAGAGTATGAATACACGACAACATTCACGGAAAAACCAAGAAGCACAATAACCTTTATAAAACAACAAGACATATAAGGCACGTGATAACTACACTGGCAACCACAACAATTTGAACACATAGTATATATGCACGGGGCCATAGGGGAATTCATAATTTAGAAATAACAAGACAATAAGGAGGACAATCACTTAAATTAAGGCAAATAAGGTCCAAGTAACAAGTAAGAGTTGTAAGAAAGCTAATAATATCGTACGGAGCACATGGAGGTAAATCAAGCAATTAAGAAACCCAATCACATTGAAATACTTCTTACTTAATTAACATAAAGGCCTAAGAACCCTAAAGGCAAATTTTCCACAAATAAGTCCGACACACACTCGTCACCTCGCGTGCACGGACTAAAATTAGTATAGAGGACTCAAATCCTAAGGGGAAGTCCCCCACACAGGGTTAGGCAAGATACTTACCTCAATCCGACAAATTCAATACTCAATTTAGCTTTTCCTTTACCAATTCATCAACGCTCGGCTCAATCTAGCCAAAAACGTCTAGAATACATCAAACAATGCAATAGAAAACAATTCCAATTAACAAAACTATGATTCTTATACAATTTGCAAAAAGTCAACTCCCCTGGCTCGTACCTCGAAACCCGACAAAATTTACAAAAACCGAACACCCATTCCGCTATGAGTTCACTCATACAAAAACTATCTAATTCCAATACTATTTAGTCATTCAAATTATGATTTTACATTTTTGAAAAACTTTACAAATTTCCCCAAATTTCATCCCAAATCACGAATCAAATGATGAATTCAATGATAGATTCATGTATTTTAGCCAAATCCGAGTTAGAATCACTTACCCCGATGAATTTCTTGAAAACCCTTCGAAATATCGCCAATATCCAAGCTCTCTAGGTCAAAATATGAAATAAAACCCTAAATCTCGTATTTATAGTGCACCTTTCGGACTCCCATAACCGCTGACCGCAGTACATCACTGCTGACCGCGCTTCTGGTGGCTGCACAGAAGGCCTTAGTAATTTGGCCATAACTTTCTCTACAGATTTCCAAATTATTATTTCTTTACCTTTATGGAAACTAGACAGAAAGGGCTACAACTTTCGCTTCTGAATCATCTCAAAATTACTTGTATATCAAAAGATATAGGCTTCCGAAGTCGGACCAGCGAACCTGCAGATCTTCCCTGGAGCGCCTCAGCACTCCATTTTCCGCCCCAGCGCTCCCCTTCCACTCTCTGCGGAAAAACCTCCGCCTCAGCGGTAATTCCTTCACCCTCAGCGAAGATTTAAGCACCAGAATCATGCCTGAGTTCCGGTAATGTCTGGATTCGCTCAAAACTCAACTGAAACACAACCGAGGCCTCCGGAACCTCAACCAAATGTGCTTTAAAGTCTTAAAATACAATACTAACTCAATCGAGCTCTCGAATCACCTCAAACAATAACAAAAACATGAATCGCACACCAATTCAAGCTTAATGGACTTGAAACCTCATACTTTCACAACCGATATCGAAATCTATCAAACCTCGTCCGAATAACCTCCAATTTTGCACACATATCACAAATGATATTATGACCCTACTCCAACTCCCGGAATTCCATTCCGACTCTGATATCATAAGAGTCAACTCTCGGTCAACCCTTTCCATTTTTCCAAACTTCAACTTTTCCAACTTTTACCGAAATACCTCAAATTACCCTACGGGCCTCCAAATCCAAATACGAACACACACCCAAGTCCAAAATCACCATGATCTACTGACATCATCCAAAATTCATTCCGGAGTCATTTACTCAAAAGCCAAATTTCGGTCAAATTATCTCCGCTTAAGCTTCCAAAATTATATTCCTTCTTCCAATTCGACTCTGATTCATCCGTAAACTGAATCCAACTATGAACACAAGTTGATATACATAATTTGAAGCTGCTCGTGACCTCAAACTGCCGAACCAGATGCAATTGTTCAAAACGACCAGTCGGGTAGTTACAATGAACATTTTATATTGGTTCCAATATTTTTTCATAGAGACGTAACATAGAGATCTCTTCATTCATTTCAAGTACATGAACCTCTCATGAGGTTTTATGAAATATTATGTCATGTGATTTTCTAGATCACTTGCTTCGTTATTATGATCATTTTGATCATTTGCTCATCTTTTTTATCAAGAAGTTTATTTGAAACCGATTTATCTATACGCTTTAAGCGTACCACAAGCTTTGTCCTTCTAGGACTTATTCTAATGAGCATTTGCATTGAGAATACAGTTACTTTCTTTGGGTCAGCAAATGTGTATGGCATGCTTTGCAATATGTTGCAAACGAATTATCTTTTTATCAACTTCAAATTCATATTATATTATTCGAGGATCTAGATGTACAAATGATAATTCATTCCACGTAACTTTTTCTTATATGTTTATCCTGTCTCCCCCTCATGTTAGAAAAACTAACTTGCTTCCTCAACTTTGAAAATCTATCTTTGTGCGTTATGGTGTTAATCAAAATATACACCACACATCAATAATAATATTAAGATAAAATTATTTGGTTCTCGACCATAAACCACTTGTTAAGGGAAAATGTAATATACTTTTATATATAACCTATATCAAACTGATATAGATAATTTTTTTCTCATAAGCAACAATTTAGATATTAAGTGGAGACACTCAATAAATTATTTTGCTAAATCAACTGTGATGTAAACTAACTTATCAAGATAAACTGTCTTAAATAGAAATCTAGAAATTATGCTCTAAATTAAATTATTGAGCAAGTTACCTCGCAAACATCAGGTTGTCGGTTAATAATAATCGCATATGTAACCATCTCATAGATGCATCTTATGTGGTATGCATGACAGGTGAATGGGCCCATATTCACCTTTGATATTTCCAGCATTCATGGGATGCAATCCCAATTTTAGTTGGTCTATTAATTAATGAGAACAAGCAACATAAGAGAATTCGCAAAGAACTTTCTAGTTCTTTAATATTTGCCCATGTGAATTCTCTTTTATTTTTGCACATCATACTTAAATTAAGATGGCTAAGCCAATTATGCCAACTGGATAAATTATCAGTATTGATAAACTTTAGGTTTACACCATGACGTATGCAATTATGAATAAACTCCAAGTTTATTATGATATGAGTTTTTATATCGATAAACTTTCACTTTATTGTAGCATTCTTTTATTTGTCAAATTAGAGTATAAAGCTGGTAGCTTTTCACATACACATTACATCGCTACAAGTTGTAGTAATAGAAGATATTAAATATTTCATTTCTTTATAGTCTCAATATAACCAACCGCTTTTGCGAATACTGTAGAAACTGAATAAGTTTCTTTGAGACTTACTACGTGTCACGACCCCCAAAATTAATCTAGTCGTGATGGCGCATATCATGAAACTATGTCAGCCGACAAAATCCCAAAACAAATCGATATTTCATAATAAGGATGTTTTAAACTATTAATTAATAAAATTTCATAGTACAAGTCTAAGTAACAAGTGTGGAAAGAACAAAGGCCCGACATCGGGGTGTCACAAGTCACGAGCATCTACTAAGGATTGTCTGAATTGTAACGACCCAATCGGTCATTTTGAGTTTTTGCACTTTGCTCGCTAGTTCTCAGGTATTACTAGTCCCATATGATGTATTATGACTTATGTAAACCGTCGGTTTTGGTTTTCAGGTTAATCGGAATAGATATGGAAGAATGATTCTCAGCTTGAAGCTTTAAATTTGAAAGGTTTGACCCAGTCTTGACTTTTTAGTATATGATCTCGAATTTGGATTTTATGATTTTGTTAGCTCTGTTAGGTGATTTTGGTTTTGGGAGCGCATCCGGAATGTGATTTGGAGGTCCGTGGTAGAATTAGGTTTTAATTGGCGAAATTAGAAATTTGGCATTTTCCGGTCGGTAGTGGAAATCTTGATATCGGGGTCGGAATGGAATTTCGGAAATTGAAGTAGGTTTGTCGTGTTATTCGTGACGTGTGTGCAAAATTTTAGGTCATTCGAACGAGGTTTGATAGGTTTTTGGATCGGTTGTAGAATTCGGAAGTTTAGAAATCCTTAGGCTTGAATCCGAGGATGATTTGGTGTTTTGATGTTTTTTTGAGTGTTCCGAGGGTTGGTATGAGTTTTAATGGTGATATGCGACTTGTTCGTATTTTTTGTTGAGGTCCTGGGGGCTTCGGGATGATTTCTGATAGTTTTTGAAAAAAATTTAACTTGAGAAATTATAGCTAGTATTGTTGCTTCTGTCATATCCGCACCTGCGGATTGGGGACCGCAGGTGCGAGTTCCGCAGGAGCGGAAAAGAGGCACAAATACGTGGAGGACTGCAAGTGCAACTTGGTAACTGCATCTGCGATGCCGTAGGAGCGGTGAGGCGACCGCAAATGCGAGGCCTGGTAAGGTAAGTGAAATCCGCAGAAGCAGATGTTTTTCCGCAGAAGCAGAAGCGCAGGTGTGCTTATGGGATCGCAGGTGCGGAATCCCTGGGGCAGAAAGTATATAAACTCCCCTTCGCGAATTTTGGTCATTCTTCCACCATTTTTGGTTGATTTTAGAGCTCCAAGTTGTGATTTCAAGAGGGAATCAAGTGTTTTCAAAGAGGTAAGCTACTTGGACCTTGTATCTTGTGTTTATGGTGATTATTCCATTGTTTAATCATGAAATTAGTTGGAAAATTAGAGAAGGAATTGGGAGATTAGGGTTTGAAATTGGAGAGTTTAAATTTGGGATTTAGGGGCCATTTGAGGTCCGATTTTGATAATTTTGGTATGTATAGACTCGGGAGTGAAAGGAGTTTCTAGTTTTGTGATTTTTGTTGGATTCTGAGATGCGGGACTGGGGGTCGAGTTTGGCTAATTTCAGGATTTTGATTTTAATTTGATAATTTTTGCTTGGGCTTTGTCCCTTAGGCATGTATTGATGATATGATTCTAATTTTGGATAGATTCCGGATGATTTGAGGCAGAGTCGAGAGGCAAGGGCATCGTGGAGTAGATTTTCGCCTGGTTTGAGGTAAGTAATGATTGTAAATTCAGTCCTTAGGGTATAAAACCCCAAAACTTTGTACTATTGTGATAAATAAGGTGACGGGCGTGTGGGCGTGCATCGATAGGGATTGTAACTTGGTCCGTCCCATGGCAATTGTAGAGTTGCATATTTTGATAAATTCTATATGAAAACTATGTGTTTAGAAATAAATTCTGTTAACTTGGGATGAATGCCATGTTTGGGGCCTTGTGTCATACTATTTGGACCCTCAGGGGTATTTTACTATTATCCTCACACTATTTTGATTTGAAAGCATATCCTCAGTCATGATTTTTACCTGTTTATTGTCTGATTAAGTTTCATTACTCTGTTTTTAAATATATGAAAGTTTTTTGGGCTGAGTTCCCTGATTTTTCACTGAGATGCCCGAGTGANTCTGTATCGGGCTGCACGCCGCAGCGATATATGGATCGGGCTACACATTGCAGCGATATGTAAGACTGGGCTGCACGCTGCAGCGATATTGCACTTAGGCTGTAAGATCCCCTCCGGAGTCTGCACACCCCTAGTGAGCGCAGTCGACTATATATTTCTGGATCGGGCTGCACGTTGTAGCGGTTATTATGAGATATCTATTGAGCGTAAGTGCTGAGTGTGAGTGTTGATTGAAGAGAGTTGGGTCACAAGTGACTAAGAGGCTTGACCGAGGGGCTACATATATTTATATGAGTGATACTTTGCCCGAGAGGCTTGTTTTATGAAATTACTATTTTAATTTGTCTTTTATACCGAGCCTCTATTGAAAATGTTGAACAAATGTTTTAAGCAACTTTCATTGAAATTGGGATTTTTACGAGATGTTCGGAATTTAACTGTTAATTTGAACCTAGTTGTTCCACTGAGGCTTTATGTTATGAGATTTATATGATTTTTAAATTCTTGTCACTGCACTCAATCTTTATTTACCTTTATTACTTACTGAGTTGGCGTACTCACATTACTCCCTACATCTTGTGTGCAGATTTAAGTATTTCTGGACCCGGTGGCGGGTGTTGATTACTCAGTAGCAGGTTCATCGGAGTTAGCAAGACAGCTGTCTGGCGATCGCAGCCCTGCTTTTCTCCCTCATTATTCTCCCTTAGTGTATTTTGTGATGTTCCCGGCCATGTTGGTCTTGATGTTGTTAGACAGTTGTAGTAGATGCTCATGACTAGTGACACCCCAATGTCAGGCTTTCTTTCTGCATTGTTGTTTTGTTTTAAACACTTTATAAAGGTTTA